GATAAGGACCTAAGCAATGCTCATAATTTTGGGGGATTCAGGTAAAGGCTGACTCCATAGAATAGCAAAACATTGCCAGGTTGTTAGACAAAATTCACTCCAGCCTGCCGGGCAACATGCATCAATCATTTCTTTCCTTTGAAAAAAATCTCAACTCTGGAATTCTCTAATGCTTTCTGTAAGCTGTGCCTTCTACAGTTTCCTCCCTGTAAGATGCTGCATCTCATCTTCTGCAGGCATTTTGGCCATCAGCACAGAGCAGAAGGGTGACAAAAAGCACCCCCATCACCCCCGTCTCCCCCCTCTTCCCATCCCTACTCCCACCCCTGCGCCATGAATAAACATGAATAAACATGGTTCCCCTAAGGTCAGATCAATCTTTTCTTTCTTTCTTTCTTGCTTGCTTGCTTGCTTGCTTGCCTGCCTGCCTGCCTGCCTGCCTGCCTGCCTGCCTGCCTGCCTTCCTTCCTTCCTTCCTTCCTTCCTTCCTTCCTTCCTTCCATCTCTCCACAACTGTCTCAGATGGTCTAACAATAATGATGTCAAAACACGGAATGGGAAATCTGAGCCCACTAGAGGCTCACACTCACCCGTGGGCAGACCTCTCTGCGTCTCTTATAGCCCTCTTGTCTCTCTCAGGACCACCCGTTCTCTCAGGCAACCTTTTATTTTCACTCCATTTCTGTCCTTTCTCTCTCACCGTACTGTCCCACCCTGACGCGGTCAGATCTAGGCGGGAGACCAGGCAGCGACGGAACATACGAGCAACATAGCAAGGTGCCGGGACAAGGTAACCATGCACCTACTCAGAGGGTCCAAGATCTGCAGCATCAAAGGCTGCAAACTTTTCCCACTGGTAGCGAGAAAGTTTGACTGAGAATTCTAATTCTGTGAATTCTCTATTACCTTACCTTTTGATCAGCTGAAAGCCCTGAGAACCTTCCTCTAGTTCCGTGGTTTCTTAGCCCTGGAATTGTAGAGGCTGCGGGATGCTCCCTTACTTTCTGGGTGCATTTGGTTGATTCAAGATTTAGAGGATGTCTAAGCCGCTCTACATTGACTCCCGTTTCACCTTGATCCTGGACCCTGCTATGGGTTCTGAAATCTCAATTCCAAGGAACACACACCCTCAGTCTTGCTACAGGCTCATCTACAAAGGTCTGTTAGTTACACCTCATACCTAGTTAATTTCTTCAACTCTTAATTCAAACGTGGTCTCACGATACATGGGATAAATGACCATTGTTGGCCTAGAGTCTCTTAATTTCTAATACCTGAAACAATTTAAATAATTCCACAAGACAGAATGCTATCATGGTTCAAGGCCCCTCCCCCGATATAACACACAGTTCTCTGTAAGCTTTCTCAGGCCCTGGCTTACAATCACACTCAAGGCCAGAATGTCCTCCACCTTGGCTGATGACCTAGGCTCACCTTGGAGTAAATAACCACCTTCTGGCTTGTGGCCACCTTGGCTGGTGATCTAGCAACTATGTGGCTTGCTGCCATGTTGGCTGTTGAAGGTAACTGTTAAAGATAACTAAGATATATAAGTTAATCATCAGCCATGCTGAGTACAAATGCAATTCATATGAAAGGAAGCTTGGAGGCACACATTAGAGCAACACCGTCCAGGAAATTGTTGACAACTAAGATTATACTTGATCAACAAATAGTCCACGGTAGCTCTATTTTGTAAAATAAACTGTGGCTCTCACTTGACCATCTCTTGACTAATTTCTGCTGCAATAATAGTGGTTTTAGTAAACAGAGGAGCCATTTTTGAGACCTCTCTCTGTAGTTCAGTAATCATTCCTGGAACTGGTAATATGAAAGCATAAAAAACAGTCTTCAGCATGGCAAGGATTGTCTTTATGGCGATGTCTCCTACTCCAGGTGTGTCTTGTATACCTGCTCCACCTCCAACCAAAGGCATTTGGATTCCGCATTAGTGAGCTGAGGATTAACATGAAATGCAGTCAGTAAGCTTAGTATCATTTTGGGTCAGCAAGCTAGGACCTTGCTGCCTCCTCAAGTCACTGACTTTTTCTTCCTTGGACATCTGTTCTTGATTGGCTTGTCAGCTATCTTCAGACGCTTTAGTTGACCAGTGGTCTCCAGGATGCTGTCCTGGTCAGATGTGTCAGAGTGGGAGCCATCTGGGACGTTGTTCATATCCTGGGAAGACACAGAACACCTGGCACTCTCCATTGGTTAATTTCTAGATTTTTCCATTCAACATATACTTTAGGCTGTGACTCCATAGGGCAACAGAAAAAGCATTATCTTTTATTTATTTATTTTTTATTTTTCCATTCAATTATTTACACTTCCTCCCCTCCTCCCAATCCCCTCCCACTCCCCCCCATACCCTCCTTCTTCTCCCACCCTGTGTGAGAGAGCAGGGAACCCTGCCCTGTGGGAAGTCCAAGGCCTCCCCCCCCCACATCCAGGCCTAGGGAGCTGTGCATCCAAATAGACTAGGTTACCAAAAAGCCAGAATATGCCGTAAAAACAAGTCCCAGTGCCTTTATCAATGGCTTCTCAGTCAGCCCCCATTGTCAGCCACAGAGAATCCGGTTTGATCACAAAAGCATTATCTTTTATAGGCAGAAAGCTTAAGATTAGAATAACTAAATAGCATAGTATGTGGGGATTTAGGTAGGTGTGTATGTCCCCTTTCTATTTAAAAAATTGCCATTTAAATGTTTGATGGTGTTGTTCCATGATAGCATGGCCCTGTAGATCGTAAGGGGTTCCTGTGACATGACTGGTATTTTCTGTGTTGTAAAATTCCTTAAAGCGTTTGCTAGTATACGCAGGACCCCTATCAGATTTTAGTTGTAATGAGCGTCCTAGAAAGAAGGAGGTACATGATAAATGATTCATGACATCCGAGGGTGATTCACCCCTGCGAACAGAAGCAACAAATGGTCAGAAAAAGCACCAACCATTACATGGACATATTTGAATAGCCAAACTCTGAGCGATACCCATTTGCCAAATGGCGATAGACTTTAACGCGCAAGAATTAATTAAGGAATTCCACCAGCAGGTGGCAGTGGTGTAAAAGGAGAGCTAGCTGGCGAGGCGTGTTGAGATCTTAGAGTAGCCCCAAAAGAGAGCATGAGGAGCAAGAAGGAGGCCAGCTCATCTCTTCGGCTTGATCACTGGCTGATAGGAATGATCACGAATATGGGCTATACAGAAAGATCGGGCTCATTGTCGGACAGACGTCACTAGCCATGAAATGACGTCAGTAGTGGGGTTTAAGTCTTGCGGTTTCTAAAAGAGGAGCAGTTTGAACACAACTTGCAGAGTCAGTTGAAATATTCGGTGGCTGAGAGACATCTGATAAGCGCTGATTGATCACGAGGAGTTCAGACTGTTGCGTGGACAACCGGTGGTGGGTACAATCTTTTTTTGTGGCTGAGGTGGCATTTGTATATAAGACATACGTTCCTAGTTCTTTGAAGAACGATCTGTAAAAGCACTAATAAGCATTGTCTATGGGATTTTTAGATGTGTGACTCCTGGTAATGTGCATGGGATATCTCCAAAAAAATCTTCAGAAGTAATCTTTGGGATAATGATTATCTATAGGTCCCGAGTAACATGCTCATGCGAACTGACAATTATTATCAGTGTGAAACAAATAATAAACCTGCATCTTATTTAACAGCACAATAATTTCTATAGGCTCTTTACCAGCAAGTTATTTAAGATGTGTCCATCGTTATCAGTTTCTTATAAATAAGGAGTTACGGACCGATGTGGAGAATTAAGACATCAATAAATTTCTATACTGTTGATGTGTAATCCCAGTGGGTGGTGAGGAGGAGGAAGGAAGGCCGAGTCACCGATCAGGAAGTAAGGGGTTAGTTCTCCATGCTACTGCGTTAGCAGCGGCACTGTTTAATAGACTAATAATTGCTCTGTTTCAGGTGTTAGTTACATTAGCTGACTTCTGTTACAGGGCTCCCAGGTGTTTGCCTCCCTGGGCAGGAGTCTGATGTAACAAATGACTGATTAGGGTTACCTTACCCTTCCACGATCTGGCGCATGGTCCATCCACTTGTACCATTGCATTTAACCAGATGTCAATGTTGTTTTTAACCTTGCATCAATTCGTGTTAATCTTGATGTAAAAGTTCTCCTTGTGTAACTAACTTTGTCTAAATGTTCCCCATAAACTTGCGCCATTGTTACTTCCTGGATGTTCTGGGTCTTTGCTAATGGTTAACTTTTAGTATAACCGCTGGGATGGACCCTCTTCTGAGACATACTAACTGCTGTGGCCCTCTTCACCCTCCTGTCAACCTAGAAGCAGTTACTGAGATGCAGATGCCCCAAACCCTAAAAACAGGCTAAGGGACCAGGGGTCATCCAACTCATCCCTCCTCTTGCCACACTGAACATTGTTTTGGGGACTCAGAACTAAAGCAGCTGAAGTGAAGCCTATTTTGCATGCATCAGCTAATCCCTGTCTCAGATTTGGTTAGCGTCCCTCAGGACCAGCTCAGCTCCTTGACTGCTGCCGTACTCCACAATTACAAAGGACCTGATCTGACCGCTGGGATGGGATCTGTGCTCTCTGTGAGCAGGCTGCTTCCAGGCTAACACATCCTAACTGGTTGGAGACGGGGCCTAGAGACAGGGACAATTCAACCACAAGCCTCTTGTGTATGGCTTCTGGTTCGCTCTGCTCTGGCTCTCCCCTGGATAACTGCTTCCCTCTTCATTATCCTCACACTTACATTTGCACCCTGCCTTTACAATGTTTTGCTCACTGAACTTTACCCTCTACTTAAACAGAACGTCCCATCTAGCTCCCCCAGGACCCTCACCCTGTACACAGAACAGTTTCATTTATTCCCGATACATCTGCAAAGAGACCCTGTAAATGCTGTGTAGAAACTCTGGCTAAAAGTGAATCTTTATCCCTGTCCTCCCATGTCAGATACAATTCTTTACATCAGTCTTCTATTTTCTCCTCTTCTCCTCCTTGGATGCTCTGTAGCTCCCTGCTAGTTCTGCTAGCTCATTCGGGTGCAACAGTGCTGGCAATAGGACCAGTCACTGTTACCCCGAGTCAACCGTCCATCACTTTCTCTCACTGGCCCACTCTGTTTCTCCTTGCTCTGCTCCCTCCTCAACCTCCCCAGAAAACCTCTCAGTTTTACTCTGTAAACAAAACAAACTGTTTACAACCTTCTAATAATAATTAATAATACCTTTTCAAGTCTCTTCAGTAATGCAGGATGACAGTTTCACGGTCCATTGCAGCTGATCAAATTAAGGCTCTCCCCTTGCCGTGTGACCAGAAGACACCCCCTTTTCAGTGGACCTGGAACCACCCACTCCAACAAAGACCTTCCTCAGCAGACACCCCTGCTCTACACTTTTAAACATCCTCTCAGAGTTAGGAATGATAGTTTCCTGCTCAAAGACTACACTTCCCAGCTTCCCTTGTGGACTACGGAAGTCATTTCCGCCCCTATAAGGGGCCCGCATCCCATCTTCTTCTGGTCATTTTGGTCATCTGCACACGTGAGTGATAAAGAGCTTCCTCGCTGTGAATAAACATGGTCCCACCTAAGGTCAGACTGAGCCTCTCTTTCTTTCCTCCGCCTGTCTCTCTACAGCTGCCTTCCACAATCTAACACCATCTAACAGCTTGCATGCGCTTTGAGCATTGAGTTCTGAGCATGTTTTCAAAGGTTCATGGCTTTAATTCTCGTATACGAGGGGATGCAGTGGAGCAACTGCTGGCGGGATGGCTCCGTGATACGGTTAAGCTTTTTTATCGTAGACAATGAGAGTGAGAACAGCCAGAGACCTCTGGAGGAGTCCAGAGCACAGAGAAAAAGATGTAGACCGACCATGGCCAGCAGACTGGATGTGGCCAGGGTCAGGGAAGCGGGAGAGGAGGAGAGAAGAGTGGAGATAGTGAGAGAGAGAGAGAGAGAGAGAGAGAGAGAGAGAGAGAGAGAGAGAGAGCAAGCGAGCGAGCATAGTGGGGGTATAGGAATAAGAGCTAGTCAGCAGATAACCAGAAAGAGAATAGTAAGGAGGGTGGGTAGCTGGGAAGGGAGGCCAGGAGACTGGTGTGGGGCCTTTGAAATGTATAACAAGTACTTATGAGCAGGGATTGAGAAAGCCCAGCGGCTGGCATGGCTTTGATATGCAGCCACGTATGGCTCAATGGAGCCATATGTCCCTTCTGCCAGAGGAAAGGGAAAAGACAGCTTCTGGCAGATGGGAACTGGTTTCCCAAGTTCCTGAGAAACGCTGTCTTTTATCTAGTCTCCAGAAATCCTCCTCAAGTCCAGCTTGAGCTCATTTCTGTCTATTTGGACAGCTGTGAGAACTCGTGGTCCAGCCTTTTGTTGATGATAAGGGGTGATGTAGTGTCTCTCTTCTGTAGCTGCTTCTTAGCTGGGGAGGGTTGCCGTGGCAGTCCAGGAAGGCCGGAATTTGAGTCAAAGACCAGGATGGGGTGGGGGTGGGGTGGCGGCAGGATCTGGTTGAGCTGAGGGAGCCTGAAGAGAGAGATACAGGGAGCAATCACATTGGTTTAACAATGAATGGCAAGGGATCCCAGAGTACGGTGACCTATCACAGACGACCCTCTGAAGGTTACGTGAATTGTTCTAAGCTTACAAAGAGATAAGAGCTTTAGCTATTAGCAGGACCACTCTCTGTAATCTACGGTGAAGTGCTGCACTGTGGGGAAAGCAGTTAACGGACATAGTGGTGGGAATAGACGCACATCTCTGGACCATGGCAAAACAAACTTGAAAAGTGACCAGCATAATGGAAGCATGAACATTTATTTATTTGTAATAAGACAGATAGTTCTTGGCAGGGAATGAGAAGCACTTTTAAGACTATGTTTAGGAAACAACCACAGGAAATTTAAAATTTAGGGATGAGAGAGCGTTACCTGCTACCAGGACACTGGCTTTGTTGGTTGTCAGTGCTTGGCAGCCACACAGGGCAGTGTTAAGTCTTTAGTTGCCACCCAGGGAAATGTCACAGCAGCCTTCAGCCACCAGATCCAGAAGGTCAAAGAGATTTTCCCCGTGGAGGAGTGACTTGGAAAAACTACCTTGTCGAGGCAGAGAGGGCAGTCAACCCAACAGCTGCCATAGTTTAGGCAGGGCCTTGGCGGCAGGGGAGGCAGGGGGCAAGTCTTTGCTACACTTGCAGCAACCTCTAGGTGCAGGGTGTTGCTGCCTTTCTCCACTCCTTAACCAGAAGCTGGTACTTTTGTCTGTCAGGGTGAGAGATCAGGAATTAACTTCCCGGTAGGAAGACAGATTGGGAGAAGAGCCACGATCAGGTCAGAAAGGTGGCCAGCTTCTTTCTCAGCCTCCTAGCTGGAGCCTCAAACCTCAAGCTGCGAATCCCTGCCGAGGAACTGGACCAACAAGTTCAAGGCCTGAGGAGGACAGGCCACATATATTTTCAGACCAATCAGCCACCTATCTGTCTTCAAACTCACCAGCCCTGAGGTGCGGGAGGAAGTCTCTTCTGAGCCTTTAAAACCCCGGGCCTTCAGAGGAGATCGGGTTTTCCGCTGCCGCGGGTTTCCGGCAGCCGGAGTGGTCCCTCTGCTTAGCAGAGGCTCTTTTTCTCGGCGTGGCTGCTGCGTGTGTGTTTCCTCAGCCTCACAGACGCCTTCCTTCAACTGCCGAGTCTGTCAAAAAAAACCCAATCTGTTGCATTTCAGATTTTTTTTTTCTGCCTTTTATTTCTTTAACTGGCAGGAAAACTGAACCCAATCAAGACCCCCTAAGCCGTGTTATTTCTAGACTGTGTCATTTTGGGGGCTGACCTCCGGATTTCTTCTGAAGACGGTATAATTTTGAAACCTCATCCCTGGCTCTCTTTTGAGGATCATCGACTCACCAAGGTAAGGAATCCAGGAGGGGGATGCGCGCTGGTCAAGCGTCCAGGTGCCTTTCATAGTCTCTGCGTCGTCGCGCTCTCTAACGCCCCTAGGCAACGCTCGCTGGTTTCAGAGACCACGGAAACAGGAACCAGTCCTCTGCTTTGGCATTCCTGGCCTCTAGCAAGCACGTTCTCAGAACAGCCGATTTACCGGCCCAGCCTCACTGGTTCCTAGACCTTGTTCTCAGCGCAACCGCAGAGAGAGAAGAAAGGCCAGACGCGGTGGTACACCTCTGATTCTAGTCCCCGAGAAACAGACCGGAAGATCGCTGCCAGGTGATAACAGCAGCAGTTAGGAACTAATGCTGTGACTCAGAGAGCTGCCCGCCCCCCACATTGTTTCCAAGTTTTCGTTTATTTATAAAATATGCCGACTATTTCAGATAACTTATGAGTTCTTTCCTCTCTGGCAGCACGTATTGAATAACCTTACCTTCATTGAAGTTTTTAATCTTCTTAATGATCTTCGTTTGTCCATGCTATTTTGTCATAACATTAGAATATTCTTTTCCTGCCTGCTATTGTTATTCCTTTCCCATGAGATTATTTCTAGTTTTCCTTATTTTGGGGCAGGGGTTGAGACAGGGTTTCTCTGTGTAGACCTGAATGTCCTGGAACTCAACTCTGTAGACCAGGCTGTCCACAAACTCAGAGATCTGCCTGCCTCTGCCTCTTGAGTGCTCGGATTAAAGGTGTGCGCCACCACCGACTGGGTCATTTTTGCTCTTAATGTTATGAAAAAGAAGTTAGAGTCATACAGTCTAAAGATTTTAGCATCTTTATTTCAAGAGAAATTTTTGTTTTATGCAACCATTTGTGTCAACTACTTTTGTACTTAAAAGAAAAGCATATAAATGTCAGTGAAGTGATCACAGTTTCAAATATGGATCTATTACATCATTAGGAGGTTTTATATTGAGCAATTTCCCGGAAAATTACAGCTCCCTGTAACTAGAGTCAAATCCAAAAGGAGTTGCGCTATTGGATTGGCCAATCTTTCAGTAAATTGATTACTCAGAGCCAGGAACTACCTTGGGAGGGTTGTGTGTGTGTGTGTGTGTGTGTGTGTGTGTGTGTATTCGTGTGTTCTCATTTCTGTTTGTTTTAAATCACTCCATCTTCTAACATTCACTCTTCAGGTCCAAAATGGTTTGTTTCATTACGCCCCATATTTAATTTTTGGTCTGGGGAATCTTTAAAAATGTAATCGACTTATGGCGTTAGTGTCTCCTCCCACCTTTGCATAAGTGCAGAGATAGAACTAGATCGCAATGGCTGCGCGACAAGAGCCTGTACCTTCTGTGCCACCTCCCTGGCTCGAACACAGCAAAAGGAAACAGGATGCTCTCCGGGCTTTGAGAACTATATGGTATTAATTGTCTCCTCACCTTAAATATCTTCCGACTAAAATAGCTCGTTCGTGACACACAAGCAGCGGTGGCCAGGTTATATTGTGTTCCCCAAAGAAAAACAACTGTACTAGACATGAGCTGAAGTTCGTGAGGCTAGCGATTAGCCCTTACTTAGTGCCTCAAACACAGAGGTGGGGTATTTCAGGAGCGGCCACCTCTGGAAGGAATTCAGGCTCCTTCCAGAGCATTCCCACCATTCACAGCAAATCAGTATAGGTAGAGCCCTCTTCATCTCTTAGGACAGCTGTGGAGTCACATGTGCGCCATCTGTGGAACAAGGCAAAGGTGACTTCGGCTGGACCTTCCCAGACAGTGCACTTAGAGGACGAGTAATTTTAAAAAAGCACCCAAATCCTCAACCCAACAAGATAAAACACATACTCATAGATCCCACCCCCAACCAGGGGTTCTCAGCCTGTGTGGGTCGAGACCCCTTGGGGGGGTCGCAGATCAGATTTTTACATTACGATTTATAACAGGAACAAAATTACAGTTATGAAGTAGCAATGAAATAGTTTTCTGGTTGGAGGTCACTGAAGCAGGAGGAGCTGCATTAAAGGGTGGCAGCGTCAGGTAGGTTGAGGAGCCCCGCCCTAGACAGAGAGTATCGTGGGCTGACATCTAAATCCATCACAGATCACCATGATGAGTCCAGATTAAAGATTTGCTCTTTAGTTAGACATAAGCTAGCTATCTGTTGGGTGATCTTCATAGGATGTAGCATTTAGTGAGTAGAAGGGGTCGCTGTATTTAATAATGGTTACAGTCTTGAAAATCAACATGACTTAATTACATGAATGTATATTTAGATGTTTTTGTAACATTTAGTTTTTTGTATAATTTTGGTATTTTGAAGAGTTGTAGGTATTTCTGAACAATAAACCTTCACGTGTAGGATAATGTATGATTTGGTAATTACGTCATAAGCCATCTATGTGTTTTCTCCTACCCAACACTTCCCAAAGGCCTGCCTCTTTTTGTCTTGAATCTCTACTCAGTTGAAAAATTCAGCTGTGAGTCTAATTCAAGTGGCCAATGGGAAGGATGACTGAAATTTAAAGGTGAACATTACCACGAACTGTTTGGCTGGGTTCACAACAGCCCAGAAACCATTTAAAGAGGAGTTGTTAAAGCCTTATCTTAAGAAGAGAAAACATCAGACCTTCACAGTTTTAAAAGTTCAGGACTACTTACTCGCCAGTTTGAAAAGTCAACTCTCATCTCCTCCACCCTTCCTCTTTCTTTTCTAGAGACAAAATGGTAACACAAATTTTTGTAGTTTCATACAAGTATATAATGTTTTTTCCTTTCCTTTCCTTTCCTTTCCTTTCCTTTCCTTTCCTTTCCTT